TAAAAAATTTTATAAGGGTATTATTGAACAATTAAACTCTAAAGATTGAATAGTCAAAGTAAAACATTTTATTGAATCTACTTGAAGGTTTTTAATTTCAGGATTCTGATTTTCATAGATTTGTTCAGAAAAGAGTCTTTTGTAGTTGGAATTGAAACTTTATGCAAGGGGTCTCTTAAGGCGTTTCATAGATTGCGTTGAAATGAGATAACTTGACCTGGATTGTTTTGAATCACTGCTTTCCTAATTCTTTTAATAGTTGTTCTAAATGATTGGTGAAGTATGTGAAACATTTCCCCAGGCGAGAGAGAGTAAATTCGCAAAAGCACCAATTGTAAATATGTCGCTGGAACTATCCAAAGTAATGCGCGATGATCAGGTTATTACAAGTAAAGGGGTGTTGACAACTGTTAGAATGTTAGTACAGCACAGGGTTACATTATTCATTTTCAGTGATTTGTGCGCCTTTACCACCCTTACCGTTACTAACTTAAATATTATTTAAGGCAAGTTACAGGTCACGCGGTTGAAGATCAGGCCACTTCGAGAGAATATGTATGGTGCAGGGCAGCTGTCACATCACGAAATAATAAAAGTTTATCTTTTACTTTTTGATCACTCAATTTTCCTGCTGATATTATCTACCTTCTGATATCTATCAGAGCATTGCTTGTATCATCTTGGTGTCTTTCAAGTTTAGTACATAGCACAAAGGTTTTTCATCTACATGGCTTTTCATACAAATATCCATCCTGTTTTTGGAAACATTTTGAACATATATAACGTGTATGATACCCTGAAGATGATTTATGCGCAATAGATACCTCAGTAAATGCTGGACATTTAAAAATTCCAATACAAGATACTTGAATATTATTTTCATTGATTTTCTATGAATGTTCTTTACAGCAACTACCATGGCTAAAAAAGTATACTTTTTTGTGACAGAAAATGCAGAAATGAAAATAGAACCTTGCTTTTTCAATTGAGCATGATTGTTTAACTCCACG